GAGAGGGAGTGGATCGACTACCCTCATCTGCCACGCCAGAGGGAACCAAGGACGTCTTGGCCAAAACGGAAGGATCGCAATTGCGTCTACTTGCTCCCTCTGAATCTTGAGAAGCACCCTCAGGATCATGCAAAACGGTGGAAACACGTATACTAAGCGGAAGTTCCACCTTTGAGCTAGCGCATCCTGCGCTGGTGTCCTGCGGTCATACAGGCGAGAGAAGAATCTTGGAAGCCTGTGGCTCTCCGCCGTAGCCATCAGATCGACGTTCGGGCAACCCCAGAGACTGAAAATTGGAGTCAGAACAGAATGGCTCAGGGCCCAATCGTTGTGGTCCAGCAGCCTCCGACTCAGTGTGTCCGCTTCGATATTTTCGGGTCCTGGAAGGTAACAAGCCGTCAAATCCTGGAGGTTGTCCTCCGACCACCGAAAGATCTGGGCCGAAATCCTCAGCAGTTGCCAACTCCTGGTTCCCCCTTCCTTGGAGACATAAGCCACTGCCGTCTTGTTGTCAGAGCCTGCCTTGCCTGCCTCAGAGCCTGCCTTGCCGATAGCTTCGGAGTTCGTCTGAGTGCCCAGGCCTGCTCTTGAACTCGTAAAACCTTCCTCAAAGGAAGAAAAACTCTTGCCACCGAAGTATCGGACCTGAATTGCCAGGTATTCGAGATTCCGGGATGGAACCAAAGAACTTTTCTGTTCGTTTATCAGCCATCCAAACTTCGTCAGGGACTAGAGCACCTGATCTCGATGTTCGCCTGCTTGACTGGCGGAGGAGGCGAGAAGCAGCAAGTCGTCCAGGTAATGATAGCTCTGTATGCCAGATACCCACAGAAGGGCTATGTGGGCCAACAGAACTTTGGAAAAGGTCCTTGGGGCCGTGGACAGGGCAAAGGGTAGACATCGAAACTGGAAGTGCCTGGTGCCCACCGCAAAACGTAGGAAACGCTGGTGCCCCGGGAAGATTGGAATATGTAGGTAGGCATCGGCCAGGTCTATCGAGACCATCCAGTGACCAGCCTTGACCAAAGCCAGAATGGTCCCCAGAGACTCCATCCTGAACGGTAACGGCTTGACGAATGTGTTCAAGAACTTCAGGTCCAACACCGGTCGGAACTTCCCCGAAGCCTTTTCCACCAAGAACAAGGGGGAGTATACCCCTAAGCCTCTTTGTGCCACTGGAACCGGAATTACGGCTCGAGAGTGCAGTAATTCGGTGATATAATCCCGCAAGCAATGCCATTTCTCTGGAGAGGCTGGAATTCTCGTCTGGACCAAGACGGACAAGGAAGGTCTTTTTGCGAATTAGATCTGGTAACCCCTCTGGATGATATCCAGGATCCATCTGTCGGTAATGTTGTCCGCCCATACCTCCCCGAAGAGAGAGAGCCTTGCTCCCACCGGAACTGAATGGGCGGGCAAGCTTTCAGAAGGTCTTCTCGCCCTGCTTGGCCCCAGCTGGGCCCTTTCCTCTTGAAGACTTGGAGAAGGAATTCTGACCCGACCTCCAGTAGGGACGGAAAAACTCCTTCCCCGGCCTATAGGACCTTGCCTCCTTAAACTTGTCTCGCGAAAACCTCCCTGCACGAAACGACTGGCGCTGTCTCCGCCTATCCTGGGGCAGCAAACCCGACTTGTCGCCCGACACCCGTTTGATCGCCTCCTCCAGAGTCTTGCCGAAGAGGAGCTTCCTGGAAAACGGAATTAAGCAAAGAGTTTGTTTAGATGCTGCATCCGCGGTCCATTGCCTGAGCCACAGAGCCCTCCTTGCTGTTACTGAATGTAACATGGCCCTGGCCTCCAGCTCGATTTGGTCCACCGCTTCTGCCACGAAGTCTGTCGCCATTCTCAGATTCCCGAACAACTGAGATAATTCGGGGATATCCTCATCCGGATTGCACCGCACCTCCAAACGCAACACCCAAGACCGGGTAGCGTGAGGAACCAAATTTAGGGAGACTGCTGATTTACAAGTTGCCCCTGAGACCTGAAATAGCCTCTTTAAGTCTGACTTCGATCCATGGGGTCATGGAAGGAGACCGAATCGTCTAAGGGCAAAGCAATATGTCTGGCCAATCGTTGCAAAGCCGCGTCCACCTTGGGAACTGAGTCCAGAAACTCCACCTCACTCATCTTAAAGGGATAAAGCTTTGCTACCCTATTAGAGAAGGTTTGTCTCCTGTCAGCTCTTGCCCACTCTTCCTCGATAAGCTCCTTTATCTCAAACATAAAGGGAAAAGATGGCAAACCTCTCTTCAACTCCGGAAAGTATTTCCTAAGTTTCTTAGGAGGAGATGAGGATTGTTCTTCCCATCCAATCGCTTCCTTCACCGTCTGAACCAGAACTGCACCTTAGAAAAATCAAAAGTATACGCCGGTTCCCCCGGACAGCTGACCGTATCTTCTGCCGAAGAAGGATAAGCCGCCTGGCCCGATGGGATCGCCTCCTCCGAGGCACTGGACAACCTCCTTCTCGAGGTGGAAGGCCTAGAGTGGCCGAACTCTCTCATACTCTGGGAAACGGCTTTCTGAATGTAGGAGCGCACCTCCTTCGCCTCATGGTGTTTATCCTGCGCCACCTCTTTAAGGCAGTCTCTGCAGAGTCGCTTATTGGGCAGTGCCTTTGCGCTACAAGACCAACAAGTCTGAGTGGCGGATAGCCCGTGAGCCGGGTCTGGGGAAGACCCCCGACCCCTGGAATGACTGTCCCTCCTGGACGAATGAGAGCGGTGATGTCTTTTAAATTTATGCTTTCTAGCCGTATGTCTGCTAGGGCGGGAAAACTCCTCCTGGCTATGTGCCTCATCCGAGGGTCCCTAAGCGGGCTCCTTCCCCTGTAAGACCAAAAAGCCCATTTAGCACAATGCTCTCTCTTTCTTTTTTTTCAGAACTCTAAAAATCCTACCTCTCCATATTATAGGTGCTGCCACTGGTGGGCTCAAGTAGAAAAGACGATCTGAAGCTGAGACACTGGCAATCTAACAGAAAAGAGAGAGAGAGAAATATATATATAAAACATATATATATATATCTGGCAAAGGCATCAACACTCCCCCAAAAGGAAGGAGCAACAGCAGAGAAGACTCACCTGCCGCCACACAGCGCTATCCTGCAAGCCAGAACTGCCTCCCACAAGCTCTCCCTGTCACCGGCTCCCATTTAACTCAATTACGTTGCCCAGGCAACGAGGCGCCGCTCGACGCTACTCCACTCTCCAGGAGACAGCCCCCCCTTCACGGCCGCCAATCACAGAGCAGCCGGGAATGACATCAGACGCCAAGGGGAGGAGCCAACCCTCATACAGCCGTGCCATCACTAGCAACCTACACGGCCCTAGCCCTCCTATGTCTGCCAGCCGGATGAACCTGCTAGCCCACCAGGTAAACGAGGGAATAAGCAGCCTTACTGCCAACATCCTGCCCAGCACCATGGGCGCCCACCATAAGGCAGCTTTACTGCCAGACCAGCGGCCATCCATCCAGGAAAGATTCTGAACCTGGACGGGCCATCTCTGACTGTTTAAGTCAGAATCATTCCCTATACACAAAGAAGTAACTCCAGCCAAAAAAATGGCCGGAACGAGGACAAAAGAAAGAACGCCGGTCACTGGGTAAGGACCCCTTTTAAATGCTATGAGGGTGGTCCTGTGGGGGGTCAAGAGGGCAGAGATCCCTGTGGATACAGCGAGCACCTGTTTGAATAGTAACAAGCGCGTGCTGTATCACTTCTGCCAGCATTCCAAGAGGGCTTTGCAGGGTCTATGGTGGGCTGTGCAGGGTCTATTGTGGGATGTGTAGGGTCTCAGGTTGTGGGCTGTGCGGAGTCTGTGGTGGGCTGTGCAAGGTCTCAGGTGGTGGCCTGTGCAAGGTCTATGGTGGGCTGTGCAGGGTCTATGGTGGGCTTTGCAGAGTCTCAGATGGGGGGCTGTGCAGGTTCTCTTTCCCTGGACACATGTGCTGCTCCTCTTACCTGCAGCCCGAAGTGCCCAGCCTGCCTCTGGGACATCAGAATTAGCCACACACTGCTTCTCCTCCACCTCCTGCCGACCGTACTGCATCTCACTGCGCCCCCCACACCTCCTCCACTTTCTAATTAAGTGGCCGCTCTTGGGGCCTCGTGGCCACCTACTTTTCCTAATTAGACAGCTGCCACCGATTGATTCTGTACAGTTTCAGGTATGTCCGATGGCCAGTCCGGCCCTGTGCCTCACTGGTTTGAGGGTGGTGTTTTTTGCCACCCCCTGGAAAGTGCCGCCCAATGCAAACACCTTGTTTGCCTTGTGGCGGATATGCTCCTGATCATGGCATGTGATGATCTGTCTTATATAATTCTTTGAAGTGGTCGTTTATTAATCACATACAGGTTATAGTTTACAACCATCTAAAAGAGAACCCAATATCTATGGTGTTTGCATGCCATAAACATCTTCATGTATTTTGACTCTAGCTACTGTGTGCCATTGATTAACCTGATACATTTCTGCTTGACAGTATTGGTCTTAGGATCATATTATAGGAATGTACTTAAGTTTAAGTGTATTATTTGCTTGATTTTGGCTTGTTAAATATACAGTTAAAGGCATTTTGTTATATCTGTTTTATAAGTTTAAAAAAATGTTGCTCTTGCCAGAAATTCAGAATTGTGCTGCACATCTCCTGTGTTATCTCAAAGAGTCTATTTAGCCTTTCCAGTTTTAATATTGGGATTACAAGTCAATAAGTGACTATGCTTTTGAGATTAAGTTAGTGGTATGTTTGAGTATTTTAGCAAAAGGTAACTGGGCAGGGCTGACACCACTTAGTCCACAAAAGTGCTGTTTGTCAGCCCACAATAGGAAATTAGGAGTACATTTCCATCATACAGGTATTTTTATTGACTTGCAAGGTGCTAGAAGAGAAAAACAAGATGTACTACATATGTTTTCTTAAAATTTTGCCTTAACATACACTTTTATTAATTACTTGTAATTACTTGTATGCTTACCCACAATAATTACTTTGCAGAAGCAACAAGAATCACTTTAGCTCCCTCTGGATCTGATATTAATCAAGGGGACAGTGTCATATTGCAGTGCCATGCATCCCACGATCCAACTATGGACCTTACATTTACATGGGAGCTGGATGGGGTCCCCATCAACCTTGAGAAAGAGCAAGAACATTACCAAAGAGATTCAGCGGTGAGACCTAATATAGCAAATATCTTTATAAATGTAGACCTTGCACCCTGTTTACTGTATGTGTTTTAGATTATAGACTGCAGATTCCCCTAACACCATGTACAGGTGTTGTGGAGTATTCAATAAAGCAGGCAAAGAGAAGTGCCTATATGCACATACAAAAATATTAAAATATATTTTAAAAAATTCAAAACAATTTAAAAATGCATCATAAAATCAGCATTTAAAAAGTGCCCCAATATGTATAACTTGCAATGCGGTGCACAAGTGTTTACAGCCATTGCAGTAACTTATTAGTTGTCCGTAATGCAATGGTGTGAATGGGCCCTTAGGAACTACTGTACTAATCATTATTCAGTTAATAGTTATAAGTCCAAGGTGTTTGCAGGAGACAAGATTAACAATTTATATACAAAAAAACAGTTCTTAAAACATTACTTCTAACATTATGTTGTCTCTAAAGGATGAATCTATTGGGGATCTTCGTATTATCCATGCTAAATTAGGGCATGCTGGAAAATACACATGTACAGCACAAACCGTAGTGGACCGCACATCTGCTTCAGCTTCTCTGCTTGTACGAGGTAACAACATAATATATATTACAGCGTGATGACCTTAGTAATGCCTCCTAACAGTTTGTGTCTGCTCACACAAATTCATAGTATTTGTTGACATGTATAAACATGTATACGTTTAAAAAAAATATATATATTATAAGATGAGAAATAGCAGCCTCTTAAAATACATTTCTTTATCCCTTTAAGGGACACAGAATCAGAACTAATCAGAGACAACTGGGTTATACTGTTGCCTATAGTGGAAACTGACCACTGGCAAACAAAAAAAAGCTGTTGGCCAGCCAGGTATAACCCCTCCCACTCCTATCATGCTTCAGTATTTTTGCTAGTGTCTTAAAATGATGGGCTTTTTTTTACAATGAACTTTACCAATTTCTTCTAGACATTTTTTCTCTTGTTCTAAAGATTTGTTTCTTCAATCAAAATTCATCATTACATTGCTGAGCTTTGATTTTAATGCAGCTATCTAGATCAGTCAATCCTCAACACCATATTGGAGACCATACCTGGACCTCACAGGACCAAAGATTGCAGAGACCCTCAGACACTGGGCTCTGCCTGGATTGTTGTCCCTTGCTTGAGTCCGCACACTCTTCAGACCTTCGCAGTCTTCCCTAGCTCCCTAAGGTGTGATCCCCTTCCATTATCCAGGAAGGAATTGTCTACAGCTATGCTAGATTTTATAAACAAAACGACTGCCTGATAGCTGACTTAATTGCGAATGCACTCTTTGTTGAGGAGCCTCATAAATCCGTTATGGATGAGTTTGTGCTTGTCTACTAATACATGTCCTAAGTTTTAATATAATATTTCAGTTCTTATTGCTGTAGTGCCCATATGCTCAAAACTGGAGCAACCTGTGTCTGAATCCAATGCTGATACTTGTCTAGTCTCCCTTAAAGGCTCTAATACTGATAAAGCTTTTCTGATTAATTCCCTACTGAAACCTATTCTGTACGGACACTGGGTTACTCCTGACAAACTGTACTCTCCTCCCAAATGCTTTGCTGAGCAATATCCGTGATGAGGATTTCCTCAAGAAATGCAGTAGATGTAGCAATTGAAGTGCCACATCAATTAAAATAGTCCAGATGCCACCTTATTCCATTAGAGTCAGGGGATATTCAAGTAGAGTAGCCAAGCTTTTCTGGGGTCCAAAACACACCCTCTTCAGCAGGGCTTAATGAGAGAAATCATGTATTTGGAGTACAATCCCTGCAGCTTGAAAATTGGGTGGAAAAGGAATGATTGGGAGTGAGTCGTTACATATTGGAAAAGAACCGTGCTGGGACATGGTAAACTGAAGGTGAGAGTCTTACATTGAGTTGTGGTGGGAGTACTTCAGGCTTGTCAACAGCTGGTTTGGCAGCCAAAGCCAAGTTGGAGTTCCATCCTCCTCCTCTACCCTGCTTAATGAACTCCAACCTGCCTGTGGATTTGCACAGGTTAACAGGCCTCTGTGCTGTAAACAGTGGCGGAACTACCAGGGTCGCAGAGGTCAAGGCAGCGACCGGGCCCTGGAGTTCGGCCACTTGGAGGGGGCCCAGGACAGGAGGAAGGGGCCACTGGTGACCGCTGATTACCAGTCCCGGGACCTCTTCCTCCCGTCCTGGGCCCTACATGCTTCACGCTGCTCCCCTCATCTTGTTCCGGGCGCAGCGTGAAGCATCATCCAGCCGGGCAGCAACCAATGAGAGGGAGCGGTGTAATCCCCGCCCCCTCATCACACAGAACTGCCGCCGAGTGCCGAATAGAGCTTCTGTGGACACGAAGGGGGAGACAGGGAGCTGGAAGTATCAAGGAAGGTGACATGGGGTCTGGGAGCGGAACGGAATGAAGGGGGAGATAATGGGGAGATGAAAGAGGACAGTGGTTTTTTTTTTCTTTCCTTGTCTAAATTTTGTTTAAAAAAAAAAAAATCTAATGTGTTTCTTCTTGGGGGGGGCCTTCATGGATTCTTGAATTAGGCCCTGAGGTCACTAGTTACGCCACTGGCTGTAAACGTCTTAAGTCAAGCAGTTATCACCATTGTTCGAAATGTGGAAACGTTTCAAGGGTTCTATACAAAGCTGTCTACCTTTGCCAAACCAAAAGGGGGCATCTGCCCCATCTTGGATCTGAGGGCACTCAATGTCTTTGTTAGAGTACAAAAAGTTTGCATGGAATCCAAAAGATCTGACATAGGCTTACTTCATCATGAAAAGTTTCTAGCAGCTGTTGACATCAAGGCATCTGTCCCCATCTTTCCACCACATAAATGCTACCTTTGTTTTGCTGTGGGCACCCACTACTACGAGTTTGTTTCCCTAACATTTGGCTTGTCGCCCATGCCCTGAGTATTCACCAAAGTACTAGCTACAGTGCTAGCCTTGTTCCGCGTTCAGGGCATTTCCATAGTGACATACATAGATGACTTTCTTTTGAGAGAACAGTCAGCACAGACTCTGTAAGACAATATCTTGCGAAATGTCCATATTCTAAAAAGGTTTGGTTAATCCTGATCCTTCAGAAGTCGGTGCTGGAGCTGAGCTTGGAGTATTTGGATCTCAACTTGGATACTGTTTTTCTTCCCCGAGATAAGCTCCAAACACTTCTCAATTGGATTGGGACACTACTGTCCAGGAGCTGTCGAACTCTCTATCTTTGCATTAAAGTTCTGGGCTTGATGGGAGCCTCCTTTGAAATTGTTTTCTGAGTTTTAAAGCTAAAGGAGATGGCAGATGTATGAAATACATTTCTATTTTTAGTTTATACAAATAAAAAAGATTTCTGAAGTTGAATGATACGCGTCACCAGTATGCAACACAGCACGAAAAGGCCTATGCATTCCTGGTATACATGATTGCCTTTGGAGGCAGATTGCAACTTTTTCCCAAGTGGGACTTTTGTGGACTCCATGCAGGATTATTACTCCTATGAAATCAAACTATGGGTGAGATCTCACACTCTGAAAGCCTATTGTTTCTTGTGTTGCTTGTGGAGTGACTATTCAAGTTCACTTGATGTGGATGGCAAATTCAGGATAACCTCTAGTACTTGGAGTGGTTTATACAGTGTATTTACCTCACATCCTATACTATCCATCTTACAATGGAATGATGAAAGCATACTGAATTTTCATATTCCACATACAGGCTATACAGGATTGTTGAGGGACAAATATTATAGTTACATAGTATGTGAGGTTGAATAAAAACATAAGTCCATCAAGTTCAACCTATTGTGTGTATGTGTATGGTCCTACTGATGTGTGCGTATCTATTGGTCCCTGTATGTTTTCATTCTTTAGAGTACCCTTACCCCTGTATATTACGGTCCCTGAGGAAATCGTTCAATCGCCTCTTGAACGATTCCACACTCTCAGCCGAAATCACGGCATGTGGCAGGGAGTTCCAGACCCTGACTGATCTAACCGAGAAGAAACCCTTTCGCCCCTTGTGCTGAAATTTTTTCTCCACCAATTTTAGGTGGTGGCCTCTCGTCCTTGTCATGGGATTAATTGTAAAAAGTTTGTTGCTAATGTTGCTATCCCCGGTAAACATGTCCCCCCTTAATCTCCTTACTTCCAATGAGAACATGTTTACATTTAGTAGCCTGTTCTCATAGCTCAGGTCCTCCATCCCCTTTATGAGTTTGGTTGCCCACCTCTGGACTCTTTCCAGTTCAAGGATATCCTTTCTGTTCACTGGTGCCCAAAACTGGACCGCATGAGGCCAAACCAGTGATCTATAAAGTGGCACAATTATAGACTTGTCCCTGCAAAACATTCCCTTCTTAATACAGGACAGGACCCTACTTGGTGTGTTTACCACAGCCTGACACTGCAAGCTATTATTCAGGTCTACAATGACTGCCAAATCTTTTTCCCTTTCGGACTTCCCTAGTGGAGTTCCCATTAGTGTGTAATCTGCTTTCTTATTTTTAACCCCAAAGTGCACAGCTTTACATTTATCGACATTAAACCTCATCTGCCACGTCGCTGCCCACTCCCCTATTTTATCCAGATCCTCTGTAATGTTATAGTGTCTAATTCAGTGGGTATTACCCTCCCAATTTTTGTATCATCAGCAAACACTGAAACATGGCTGTTTACCCCCTCCCCAATATCGTTAATGAATAGGTTAAACAGCATGGGGCCCAGCACAGAACCTTGACGCACACCGCTTATGACCCTAGCCCAATCCGAGAAGGTGCCATTTATCGATACTCTCTGTACCCGTTCCTGTAGCCAGTTTTCTATCCATGTACAAACTATTTGGTCTATGCCCATAGACCTCAGCTTGTGCAGTAAGCGTTTATGTGGTATCGTGTCAAATGCTTTAGAAAAGTCCAAGTATACCACATCCACCAGCCTCCCTTTATCCAGATCTCTACTTACCCCTTTGTAAAAAGTTAGCAGGTTGGTCTGACAGGAACGGTCTTTCCTAAATCCATGCTGGTTGTCATTTACTATGCCGTTATCCCGAACAAATTCTACTAAGTGGTCCTTAATCATGCCCTCTAACACTTTACAAACTACCGATGTAAGACTGTAGGTCTGTAGTTCTCCCGGATGGCATCTGGACCCTTTTTTTAATATTGGAACTACCGTAGCCCTCCGTCAGTCGCTTGGCACTCTATCAGTCATTAAGGAGTCTTTAAAAATGATGAACAATGGTCCCGTTATAACCTGGCTTAGTTCTTTAAGTATCTTGGGGTGTAGATTATCTGGTCCTAAAGCTTTATTTGCATTAAGTAGTTTGAGTCTGTTTTGTATCTCGGTTTCTGTCAACCACTGTGGAATATTTTGAGATGAACTATGTGCGTTCTTAAGTATAATAACCCGGTCTTTTTCCTGAGTGTATACTGATGAGAAAAAGGTATTCAACGCATCGGCCCTCTTCCTGTTGTTTGTGACTAACCCCCCGTTATCATCCATTATTGGGCCTATCTGCTCCTTCCTTACTCTTTTACTGTTTATGTACTGGTAACATTTTTTGGGATTCGTTTTACTTACTGTGGCT